CCAGAACTACACACAGAGAAACCCTGTCTTGAAACACCCCAAAATAAAGAGAGACACAGTTGCTATGCTTTGTTTTGCCTATCCACTGCTGGGATGGAAAAGGACCTTCCCAGTCTTTAAAAATAAAATTGGTTACCAAAATGTGACTCACTCGAACCTGTGTGAAAATGAGTTTGCTTTAAGAGATCTTGTTTTACTATTTAGACAGACATTTAACAGGGAGATTTAACGTGAGTTGCCGGGTTTGGGGGCCTCCTTTGTAAAACCAGAAGATTTGGCAATTACACTGGGCTGCCATTTCCTGTGGCAACAGTCAGCTGAGCCCTGTTGTCCCTCTAAGTCAAGTGTCATTTGAAAGCCGTTGGCAAACACAGCTCTGCGGGACACTAGAATCCCTACAGTGACCTGCTGCACTCACGGGACATGCCAGCTCCTGTAAGTCATCCTCCTCCCCTTTGTGCTCGAGTTGAGTCTAGGGCCTTGGGGATGAAGTCTGGAGTGTGCAACTCAAGTGTCCTGATACAACTCTACACTGATCCAGCATCCAAAGGAATGAAGAGCTTCACTCTTCTTGCTTAGAAGAGCAAGGTACACCTAACACTAAAAGGAGATGTGCAGCGGCCAGGAAGGTGTCTGGTTCCCACGCTGCACGGAGTCAGCATTATGATCACGGAAGTCACTCCATGAAAAACAGCCAGTAGGGCATTTGTCCTGACTCAAGTCACACCCACTGAGAACAGCCCAAAGCTCCACAGCAGACCTGAGAACCCTCAGTCTACCCCTACACACACACACACACACACACACACACACACACACACACACACACACACACACACACACATTCTGTGCTTCTGTAGGCCAGAAGATAAGAGACTCTGAACTTGAGTTCTTAGCCTCCTTGCCTGCCACTTCCTGCCCCTGGGAATGCAAGGAAGCCATCTAACCCTACTGGGCCACCACCTTCTCCTGTGAAAAGCTGAGATGAAAACCTCATCCACTTCTCAGAATGTTCAAAAAAATGATGCAAACCACACATGTGAAGAGTGCTTGGAAATACCGTGTGGTGCACATGCTGCCCTGGCGTTCCACACGTGGGAGCTTATTGATTTAAAGCCCACAAGCGTGGCCAGGGCAGCATTATGATCCCCTTCTGCAGAGCAGAAAACTGAGTCAGAGGGGTTCTGTAACTTGTCCAGGTCACCCAAGGTGGGAGGTGAATGATCCAGGTTCCCACCCTGGGTCCTAAGCACAGTACACTTCCTTTGCTCTGTGTGAGAAATCAGGCGTGACCCAACCTCATAACCCAATGTTAGCCACCGTTGCCATGGCTTCCCAAGTCCAGCTGCCTTCCTCTAACTGATAAAATACTTCCTCCTCGTCACACTCCCCAGCTTCTGACTGGCCGAATGCTTCTTCAATGGAAGAATCATTTTCCTTCCGCCCTGCACGTTAGCCTGCCCTTGCTAATACCCACTCTCCCCACCACCACGTGCCCGGTGGGAATGTGATGCTCCCTCCCTCCCCTGCCGCCCCAGATTGTCTCACATCTAAGAGCCTCGCCACTTACCACTGGCCGATCCACAGAGATCGTGTTTTCAGCTTCCCTGTGAAAAACACAAACGTTGAGTGTCTCGGTACCCCCGGACCAAGCAGGAAACACTCAGGTGTCTTAGTTACCCCCGGACCAAGCAGGAAGCCCTCCAAGAATTTGTTCAGGCCACATGGCTTCTTGGTGGTCAAGGTGAGAGTAAATCTGAAAGAACCCTGAGACTACACACTCACCTGGGAGCCACCCCCCTGTAAGCAATGTCCCCAGCAAAGCACAGGAGCACAGCCACTTGTTGTCAGAGTTCCCACAGATCACCGCCCAGTTACCTCCTCCCTGCATCCCTTCCAGAGTGTCAGCGACTACCAGTGCATCTGTGGCCAAAGGCACATGTGCAGCCTTGCTGGTTTCCCTGGCTTTTCCACCACCATCAATGTCCATTATACCTACTCGGCTTTATTTTTGCTGCTGCTCATTTCTATAATTCTAAAATGTCACAGTGTTTCCTTGTCCATTGTCCCTGGAGTGTGAAGCTCCCTGAAGGCAGCAAATTTCTTCTGTATAATTCACTTCCCTAAACCCAGCCCCTAGAATAGTACTTGGGCACAGTGGGTGCTCAAGAAGAAATGCCTGCAGGATGAATGGAGTGAGTACATTTTTGTGGGCTGCTCTGGTGCCACAGGGCTATAATTGCAACTCCTTAGGAGGCTGGGATCAGAGGATCAAAGGTTCCAGGCCAATCTGAGTGAGTTCAAGGCCAGCCTGGGGCACTCAGTTAAACCCTGTCTCAAAAGAGGAAGATGAAAGCCATGACGGAGCGCTTGCCTGGCATGCACGAGGCCCTGGGTTTCATGGCCAGTGCTTGCAGAAAGTAATCAAACACATGAAGGAAACAGAGCAACGGCTCAGGAGTGGAGGATGGCAAAGGTCGGCGGCGGGTATGTCCCAGGAGCCCCGAAGGAAGTCGGTCCAGCTGCCTCTGGGCTTTAGGATGGGCCAGATGAGCGACCTCTTAGGGGCAGGTAGGGAGAGTCAGGCTGGTACTCACTCAGAGAGATTCCTCTTTTCAGAGAAGACCCGGAGGATGAATTCCCCCTCCTGATGGGGCTCATAGGTGGAAGGCACAATGACGTACTCGCTGGGGGGCAGGCGGAAGCGCTGGGACACTTCCCGCATGTTGATGTAGGTTTTGCTTCTGGCCTTGGAGGCGTTGTACAAGAAAAAGTCCTTCTGCAGGTGCTGCTTATTCCCGTGCATCTGAGGACGAGAAGCCAAGACACCCGAGCCCCTTGGAGGGTTGCCTGGACCCCCTCACAGTCCCCTGCAAGGGCTCCTTCCTAACTCGTTCATTTCACAGTCTTCACCTACCTACTTCCAATTCCCAAGGCCTCCGATTGCTCAGTGTCATGGGCATTCCGGATCTCACTTCCCCTTCCTTTGTGATTTAGAAATGAAGGTCAGGTCTATACTTTCCCTAGACAGGACCACTCACCAGAACTGATGATCCTCAACTCCAAATCCCTCTGGTTGACAAGTACCCCAAAGATGGGGAAGGACCTTGACTGGTTTCTGAAGGAGGTGGGTTCCCTATCCTAGAAAGCAGCAACCTTTGGATCATGGCTCTGTGAGTGTATACTTGCACGAGTGTGAGAGAAGGAGTGTGTGAAGGTTTGTGTGTTTGATAGGCAGGGTATCCTGGTGGAAGGGAGAAAATGCACATTATGGGGTACGGTACCCTCCTATCAGCCTTGCTCATCAACCCTACCAGGAAGCTTCTCTGGGAGCCACAGACAGACTTAGGACCCCCAACGAATGCTGCACACCACTGCCGGCCACTGCCACTGCTATACCTCTTTGGGAACCTGGAAACAAAATAGAAAAACAACAGCCCTGATGTGAATGAGGGTACAGAGCTGGCAGATGGGAATGCCAGCAACTAGAGAGTGACTATAGACTCTACCTCCTGCTACCATCCTGCCAGGCCCAGTCAGACCCAATGCCCCCAATGCTGCTAACAAACATGTGTAGGCCTGAGAACAGGAGCCCTGGTGGTCCCTGAGGACAAGAAAAGCCAGAGGGCCCTGCTGGAAATTCTCAATTCTCCCCACTGGAAAGGTGTGTTTCCTGTGCTGGAGCGGGCGGAGTCTTCATACCTCGTAGATTGCGAAGCCAATGGTGAAGAGGTTGGCTCCCAGCTTCCGGTCCTTGCGACGATTCTTCTGCATCAGAGCCACCAGGAAGCTGCAGATCACCTCCGAGTCATCGGGGTCATCATCCTCCTCCAGGAGCTTTAGACGGTACTGCGGGTTGGTCCAGAAAGTGTCTATGCCCCCCACAAAAGGAAATGCATGTTCAGATATGGAGAAAGGGCAGGAAGGAAAATGAGCCAGGGAACCTGTCTCCTAGGTCCCCTTTGTGAGGGGTAGTTTAAAGATTTTTATTGGTATGTGTACCATGTGCGTGCTTGGTGCCTATGGAGTTCAGACAAGGACCGCCATGTGGGTGCTGGGAACCGAACCCTGGTCTTCTGCAAGAGCAATAAGTGCTCTTTACCACCGAGCCACCTCTCCAGTCCCCACTAAATGCATTTTGACTTAGAATTAAGACAGAATTCCCAGACATTTCTGAACTGGCCCTAAAGTTACTGCTGCCATTTTATACTACTTGTTTCTATAAATGGAATTCTCAAGATTGACAATTAAAAAAAATGTTGAAGATGCTCTGTGTCCTACCATATCTAACATTCAGCAAGATTTAAATATTTATGTAAAAGTAAATAAATACAACTATCTCACTAACATACAAATTTGGTTTTGTCTTTAATAAGTGGTAAACTTACATGCGCAGTAGCCAATTGTTTTAAAATTAAGTAAGTTTATTTTCTTTTAATTTTTTTGAGACAGTTCTTCTGACTCTGCCTCCTGAGTGCTGGGATGGCAGGCATGTGTCGCCATACCTGCTTTATCCTGTGTGTGTCGGGGGGGATTGAACTCAGGACTTCATACATGCTAGGCAAGCACACTGTCAACTGTGTTACATCCCCGGTCTCCCAAACAAACTTCTGAATAACTTATTATCAGTTTGACTTGCATACCTATTTTATCACCTATAAACCCAGGGTTGTGTAAAAATTCCTCATTGAGCCGTGCAGTGGTGGCGCATGCCTTTAATCCCAGCACTCAAGAGACAGAGGCAGGCAGATCTCTGAATTCAAGGCCAGCCTGGTCTACAGAGTGAGTTCCAGGACAGCCAGAGCTACACAGACAAACCCTGTCTTGAAAGACAAAAACCAAACAAAATTCCTCATTGAAAAGGAGTTACATGTAGAAGCAGGTTTAAGAGGCCTGCTCCCCGCTCTAGACAACTCTAAGGTGCCTTGTGCCTGGATGCTTGACAAATATTTGTGGAAAGTGTGATTCAAGCATTTGTCTAATTATTGGTGAGTGGGAACCTCTCCCCTTTGGGCTGGCTAGTTTCATGTCAACTTGACACAACCTAGAGTCATCAGAGGGGAGGGAGCCTCAACTGAGAAAATGCCTCCATAAGATCAGGCTGTAAGCAGGCAAGCCTGTAGGGCTAGGCTCTATTAGAAAGCAGGCTGAGCAAGCCGTGGGAAGCAGGCCAACTAGGCAGCGCCCCTCCATGGCCTCTGCATCAGCTCGTGCTCCTGGGTTCCTGCCCTGCTTGAGTTGCAGACCTGACTTCCTTTGGTGATGAACAACGATGTGAAAGGCCAAATAAACCCTGTCCTCCCCAACTTGCTTTGGTCATGGCATTTCACCACAGCAACCCCAACCCTAAGGAAGCCAAGCCATCAACAGGAGGCATGGCCTGGCCTGGATGTGCAGTAATCCCATCCCTCCTCCTTCCTGAACTTTCGTCGTCTTTGCCCACAGCTTTACTATTTCAACCAACTCCTTAAGCGTCATTGGTCTCTTGGGTCTGGCTTTATGCATCTCCTCTGGCTCCAACTATCCCATTTCCCTTGTCATCTGACTGCTCCACTGTGTGTCAGAGAGAGAGAGAGAGAGAGAGAGAGAGAGAGAGAGAGAGAGAGAGAGAGAGAGGAGGGAGACTTCTTTCTCCTCCCCCTCCCCTCTTCCTCCTTCCCCTACCACCTCCTTCTCCTCCTCCTTCTTCTAACAAGACAGGGTTTCTCTGTGTAGCCCTGGCTGTCCTGGAACTCACTCTGTAGACCAGGCTGGCCTCAAACTCAAAATCTGCCTGCTGCTGCCTTCTGAGTGCTGGAATTAAAGGTGTGCGCCACCATTGCTAGGCATGACTTCTACTTTCTAACTGACCCCTCCATTCCAAGGACACCTCAGCTACATATCTTAGCTCAGTTTCTTGACTAACTTCCCCCCTTTCTACCCACCCATTTCCTCTCATTTATTTACTTTTTATTTTCATCATAAACCACTTCTGAGTGTTGTGTGTATATGATGTATGTGTGTTTGTGTATGAAAGCAGGTGCGTGCATGCCATGGCATGGGCATGGAGGTCAAAGGGCAACCTTGAGCTTCAGCCCTCTCCTTCCACCTTGCTTGAGGGTCTAAGCTTCTGGGAGTTCTCTTGTTCCCATTTCCCGTATTACTGTAGATCATTGGGGTTATGGACACACTACTTACATGCCTGATTTTTATGTGGGTTCTGGGGATCCAGACTCTCTTGATCAGGCAAGCTCTTTATATGCTGAATCATCTCTCTCTATCCTCTTCATTGTGTTTTTATCATATAGCCAAGTCTACTCTAAAATGCAGATGACTTCAATTCTCTATTACAAACCTTTGCCTTGATAGTCAGCGGGTACCTCAAACGTTTCACGACATAAACTGAAGTCCTTTATCTATATGTTCACAACCAACCACATCAAAAACAACACACCCACTTTTGTTCCGTGTAGCTTATATTACAATATTGACTCATCCACTTGGGTCATTGTTCTGGGGCCCTTGGGATCATTCATTATTCCTTCCCTAAATCTGAATTCTCCCCTCCATCTCTGGAGCCACTGACTTGTCAGGCTCTCAGCATTTCTGCCATGGACTACTGTAGTATCCTCTAGTACACCTTCAGCAGGATTGGCATGGCATTCCGACAGTTTCCTGCTTCAGCCTTTGCTACCAGCAAATGTACCAGGGAGTTGCTCCCAGCTCCCTATTGGAGATTCCTCAGCAGGGCTGTTTCCTTCCTTAAATGAGGAGGATCTAACGAGACAGTGCATGCCTTAAGCTTAGGACAGACTTGGTAAATGACAGTTAATAGTATTCTGCCTGGAATGAGTAGTGCCCAGGCCCCTCCCCATCCCAAGTGTCTCCTACCTGGGAAGTTACGGCAGCCGCCAGCAGAACAGCCCCTCACCCAGCGGCCCTCGTTTACAGACACGGTCCAGGTCTGTAGCTTGTCAGACTCCAGGGCGTCAGCTGTGAGGTTACAGATCTCCAGCTTTGTGAAATGGTAGACGAAGTCATCATAGGACATCCTGGGAGGTGGAAAGAGGAGAGACTCACACAGGATGGGGAAGGAAAGATTCAAAGGATAATACAGCCCAATAAAGTCCCCAGAAGACCCTGACATTGTCGTTTGTTTGCTCATTTGCTTTTGAGAGAGGATTTCATGGTGTAGTCTAGGTTGACCCTGAACTTTCGATCTTCCTGCCTGTCTACCAAGTGATGAATAGAGGTGTGTGCCTGGCACTGCCACTTCTGACATAGCGACCCCAAATTATCACCATGTCTTATAGTAATGACTCCTCATTTGTCTATGATGAGAAGAGCCAGCTGGAAAAATCATTCTTCAAAATGTTACTGTTAATGTGCCATTCAAATGTTAATGTGCCATTGCCAG